CGTATTCCACGCATTCATTGCTTTGTTAAAAATTCCGAAGGCTCTCTCCCATTTATCGCGTAATAAATTCTCCCCAAAAATAAACGGGATAAAAAAAATCTCCCCGTACTTGTCCGTGTATGCTGGCCACCCCGTCCCCCTCACACTAGAGCCTTCCTGGCAGCCGCCCAACGGTGGCCCGGCCATCTTGGTATCCATGTCATAATTCAGCAGGCCCCATTCAAATATTGGCCCATAGATCTGTCGCCTCTCGCAATGTACAAGCCCGACATGAAGACCAGCGCTCTTCATCTAGTCCGGTAGGTAAGGTCCAGCCGGACTTCTAATTGCATTGGCTCGGCCCGTTGGTGGAGTCCGGGCCATGACGGTTGGGTCAGTCTATAATGGGTGGGTCAGTCTATAATGGTTGGGTCAGTCTATAATGGTTGGGTCAGTCTATAATGGTTGGGTCAGTCTATAACGGTTGGGTCAGTCTATAACGGTTGGGTCAGTCTATAATGGTTGGGTCAGTCTATAATAGTTGGGCCAGTCTATAATAGTTGGGTCAGTCTATAATGGTTGGGTCAGTCTATAATGGTTGGGTCAGTCTATAATAGTTGGGTCAGTCTATAATAGTTGGGTCAGTCTATAATGGTTGGGTCAGTCTATAATGGTTGGGTCAGTCCATTGCTGTTGGGTCAGTCCATTGCTGTTGGGTCGGTCCATTGCTGTTGGGTCGGTCCATTGCAGTTATGCCAGTCCATGACGGTTAGGCCAGTCCATTATAGCTGGACCAGTCCATTCGGACATTGATAGACCTAGATCATTCACCAGCAGGGGTCAAAGCGTGAGTGTAGAGAACTTGTAGTGATCTGTTGTCTTTGTGTGGACACGATCCTCGGTTACCCGGGAGTCACGTGACCCCACTGCAATTTGTGTGCAGCGTTTTTCTCCTAGCCCTGTTGTTACGCCGCGTGGGGGAATTGTGGGTAATTAATGGAAACAATTGCCGAGATCCGCTGGCCGTGTTTTAGCCACCTATCACCCCACCCAGGAACCGAACCCTTGACTGAACAGTTGACCTTCAGATCAATTATTATTTATCAATGGTCTGTTTACACTGGCACCGGCCATGCCAGCGTGTGGTAAATATACAAGACCTAGTTGTTTGGGTTGTATGGCAATCTATTCTATAACAAGACCTAGTTGTTTGGGTTGTATGGCAATCTATTCTATAACAAGACCTAGTTGTTTGGGTTGTATGGCAACCTATTCTATAACAAGCCGGCAGATCGAACACCAGCAGTAAAAAATAGCGGAAGGTAACGTTGTACAAGGGGACAGATAAAAAATGTAAATAATGCCGAATGGGGCTTTAGAGACTTGCCGCGTCGGTTGATAAGTGCCATTATGGTCGTATGCATGCGATGGGCAAGTATACGTACAGCCACATATACATACGAATCGTGTGCGGAAGTTTAGTTAAATTATTGACAGTTGTTTAGGGAATTCGTGGCATTGCCTTACAGAGGGAAAGGCATTCAGTACATCAGGCAAAACTTTCTCCTACAGAAAGCAACGGTTACATAAAAAAACTACTTTAAAAATATTTAGGTCATTTATACGAGTATTCAAGTATATGCAATAAAAAAGGATTTTGTATGATTTATGTATTTATGTACGTTGAATGTTGTTTGCTAGCTAATATTGTAACATATAAGGCTTGTTTTGTATTTCAAAGTCACGATTAAATTTTAGAGCAATTATTCTAGTGGATGTATTGAATAATATTTCTAAAAACTAATATTATTATGAATTGTTGTGTAAATGAGATAACAAATTATATTGTAACTAGACCTAAACAAACGAACTGTTGTCTTTTTTTTCTGGACCTTTTGTCTGGTAAATTGTATGTTATTGACCTAGTTTTTTTTTCTTCTCTTGACGATCAATCTAGCTTTGGCGTTGGCATAGATGTATTTATCTGGCAACTTGTGGCCTGTATTAAGTTTACCGAGGCCACCAACGACGGCCCAAGCTAACGCTATCACCCGGATAATATCAAAGCCTGCTAGTCTACTGTGGCCATCCCATGGGTCTACTGCGATATTGGCCACACGACCATTGTAAATGAACACAACCACAACACGGACACAATTGGTGGTGGTTCAGTTACTGGTGTAGGAGAGTAAGGGACAGCTTTGGGGGGGGGGGGTGAACAAGAATGTGAGAACGTCTGGTTGTAGGGACAGGGAATGAGGAGGAAGGAGGGGGTGTTATTTTTTTTTCTCTAGCAAATTGATTTTTCGTGGCGTTATATGTTCATACAAGTAGATGTGAACAAAACATATTTTACAGTGGATAATCTGGACATTTTGTCTCGATTTATTAATTGTCCATTGAAGTGTATAATTTAGGTTTTAGATTCAATGAAAAAAAATCATTACTTATCAATGTTTGTTAAATATTACATGTATATTATTTAACTCGATGTAAACAATAATTCTATTTTTAGTAAAAAATGATAAAATGTTGGATAGATATTTTACATTTCTAATCTTGTAACCCTTCGCCGTAAGTCATACACTTGTTTGTTTGACAAGAACGTGTAATCAACAAGTAAACAATTCATGATAAACAAAGAAAATCAAAGACTAATATTCTTCAAGCACAATGTTCTATGAACAGCTTAATCCGCCAGTGTTTGTTAGCTGTGGATTAAATTTTATGACTGCAGATGAAATCTTTCTTTACTTGAGCTAAACACTGCAGGATATTACATTCTATCAACATCATTTAAATGGGGATTACATTAAGTTTACATTATACAAACATCATCTCCATCATTGGCGGACATAAAGATTTACAGAGGAACACTCGAAGCCAGAGATTTCATTGGCCCTTGGTTATACACTGGGAGAAGCGAAAAGAAAATGGCAGACACATTTTTGTGTGAGCCAAAATACGGGCTCGCTGGTGTAACGGGGCTCTCAAGAATGATATAACAGGGCTCTCAAGGGTGATATAACAGGGCTCTCAAGGATGATATAACAGGGCTCTCAAGGATGATATAACAGGGCTCTCAAGGGTGATATAACAGGGCTCTAAAGGATGATATAGCAGGGCTCTCAAGGATGATATAACAGGGATCTCAAGGGTGATATAACAGGGCTCTCAAGGGTGATATAACAGGGCTCTCAAGGATGATATAACAGGGCTCTCAAGGATGATATAACAGGGCTCTCAAGGATGATATAACAGGGCTCTCAAGGATGATATAACAGGGCTCTCAATGATGATATAATAGGGCTCTCAAGGATGATATAACAGGGCTCTCTGTGATATCAACGTTGGGCTCTGTGGAACACTTCTCCACACATATGGAACATTCCGTTCCCTGTAGAGAAGTGTGTGTTTGGTTACATGTGTGATGAGTGATGATAGTCACATCGGTGGGAGATGTATTAAACACACACACACAGCGACAACAAAACACCCACACAAAGTGGACGAAAAGCATTCTCTCAGACGAGAATATTCCCACATGTATATTAAAACACATACACGCACACACACACACGCACACACACACACATACGCACACAACAGTAGACATTTAAACTCAGATGGACAAAATACACCAGCAGAAAGGAAGAAACATCCAAATACAATCGACAATTACCGTGTTACAAACGACAAAACACCCACACGACAAAACACCCGAATACACACGACAAAACAACAAATAAAATATGACAAAATACACCCATATAGACGACAAAATACAAATGAATACATACATCAACGGCAAAGTGCCGAAACAAATAAGTTTAACTAGCATTCGGCAAATAAAACGAACGAACCAAATTAAAGTTAACATAACATACTGTTTTTAACATTCCTTTTAAACGAAACGTTTCAGGGCAAAAAACGACATCAAAAGAACAGAAGAAATTGTTGTGAATTCTTTTCTGGCATGCATTGTTTTCACGAGAAAACACCTCCATTCCAGATGTTTTTATATAAGTGTTAAAATATCTGCTTAATGATGCTGAAATAATTCAGCTAGGATCAATCCGGTATTTAAAAATGCCTATAAATTTACAAAGTAAAAATGACAAAGCAATAAAATAACAACGATTACACAAAACAAACTCGCACACAACTCGGCACGTTTTTAAATTGATCTAAATTTCTTCTAACAGAGGGACAGATCGAGAAATTCTAAATTTGTTTTGAGGGAAAGAACGAGAAAGTCTAAATTTGTTTTGAGGGAAAGAACGAGAAAGTCTAAATTTGTTTTGAGGGACAAAACGAGAAAGTCTAAATTTGTTCCGAGGGACAGATAGAGAAAAGCTCTTCAGTAAGTAGATTTATCGGGAATTTCCGCAATCTTTTATGTGTGTGACGGCTGAGAACCGTCTTGTGTGGAGTGTGTGTGTGTGGGGGGGGGGGGGGATCTCAAGCTTACACACGAGTGCTGGCGTGAGGCCCCCCCCCCACATCTTCACGGCTGTTACTCGAGTAAAAGGCCTCACATTGAGGGGTGGGATGGAGACCTTCAAATTTTAGTTCGATCTGTCTCAAGTCGAACACCTTTTTTCAAGAAAAGTTTTTTTTTTAAAAATTGTATTTGATGTGGTCATTAAATTATCTACTGCTATAAACAAGGTTGTACAATTAATTATCTACTATTATTAATAGGGTTCTAGAAACGTCAACCACATACATTTCTAATTCATCAAGAACACCAGTTGCAAGCATTAATTCTCAACGGATCAAAATAATCAGCAATTTGAACATGTGTATCAGGTAATACAAAGTAACAACAAAAAAATTATAATATTCAACTTTTTAAGTATAAACAAAAACGAACTTTGTTTTGTAAAAATTTTTGACAAAAACACACCTAAGAAATGTTCTAGTGTTGACCATTGCAAGGGAAGCAAACAAGTTTTAATCAAACCTAAGAAATGAGATGAGCGTGTATTACTTCCCCTTGTAACACGGCCGGTACTTACCCTCTCGAAGTGCCATAAGCTACAGTGAGCGCTGATTAGAAACAGCAGACGTAGAAGATATGTCGTCACAAAATGTGTTGTCACACGATATGACGTCACGTGAGGACGTAGATCTATGACGTCAGACAATACCAGACCTGCCAGAGACATTGACAACTTAAATTTTAAAAAAAATTATAATTACAAATTAGATAACTTTGAATGATCTTTAGTTTAAGTAATAATAAACGCAGTTTTGAAAACATTGCTATAGAAGCACATTGTTAAATACGTTTAGCAGTTTGTAAAATGAGCTGAGGTTTTTTGATTTTTTTCTAGTTTCTACGATGTGAAGTTATTCAAGGTAGATAACACCGGTTTTCGTGAGACGATGTAGTTAATTACTTGTTACCTCCCTTGATTATTCTAAAGAGCACTTCAAGGCTGTACAAGTATGATGTAATATACCACCGCTTATTTTTACCACATTTTTAGATTCGTATAAAAACGAATCACTTCATTAGCCGACAGCGATGACGCAATTCGTTTTGGCACAGGCAGCCATGTTTTTCTAAGACTTTTTTTTTACCTCCCTTTATACAATTTTCAACCAATTTAGAAACGATCTTTATTAAATTAGGTCCGCTTCAAATATGACGTTTAAAAAATAGACAATTTGTATTGGCAAAATATTGAACGATCAAAAAGCAGGTTGGTGTGAGGGGGTGGGCAGGGAAGGGGAGGAGGGAGGTGACAAATTTCTGAGCTTTCCTCACACAGTCCTCTACTTCACGAATCCATTGTAACACATCTCTAACACATTTGAAACATGTCATAACCGTGTCAACCCCAACAAAATTTGGTACCTCTGTACAGATAACAAATAGATCTAAATGTCAACCGAATGCGAGCGAGTATTTGTACATCCATAATGTTTTTAGATCAAACATACGAAGACTGCCAATGGTATTGTCGATAAATTTTATTCAATTAGACAAATCGACATTTGAATAGTAATTTATTTCAATTACTAGTACCCGTCCTAACCTCCCTTAGCGTTAGTCCACACCTCCCCTAGCACTAGTTCACACCTCATCTAGCACTAGTTGACACCTCACCTAACACGTCCCCACCTCCCCTAGCATAGCGCACACCTCCCTTAGTACAAGTCAACACCTCTGTTAGCACTAGTTCGCACCTCCCCTAGCACTAGTCCACACCTCCCCTAGCACTAGTCAACACCTCCCTTAGCACTAGTCAACACCTCCCCTAGCACTAGTAAACACCTCCCCTAGCACTAGTCCACACCTCCCCTGGTGTAAATTATTCAACTGAGTAAGCTTTACACAAACATCAACAATGACCAGTGGTCACCCAGCCTTACCCAGATATCTCTGGTATCCCGCTTGTATCTGTGCTCAACTAGAGATTAAAAAAAAGTTTTTTTTATAAAACCAACCGAACATAGACAAGCTTTAAAAACCTGACCCTATTGGCGGTTAAAAGTTAAAAACGTAAAACATTCGAAACTTTTCTTGAGTAAATACTAGATTTATCCTTGAACGTAGGAAATAAATCGGACAAGGCAACGTGTATACTCATGTTCTTTCAATAGATGTGATGGTACAATATTAGGGCCTCCACAAATGTTACTTAAGTCGTTGCCCTTTCAAATATTATGGTGCGTGTGATGAGTGTATATGTTTGTGTGTATGAACGTGTTGTTGTTGTTGTTGTTGTGCGATACAAGATATGTCACAGGCGTGTCTGGTTTGTTGCCATTAATAGACAGTTGTGAGCTAAACTGGGGCCACCTGTTCTACATCTAGAGCTATTTTAAAGGCTGGGGGGGGGATGTCCGGGGGAGGTCGCTCAGGGTGGCAGGATAGGGTGCGGGTTCGGGGTAGGGTTGAGTGAGGCTGGCGGTTAGGCTGGGGGTCAGTGTATGGGTCTTGTGGTAGGATTGGGGTCAGGGTTAAGGATGAATGGGGTCTTGCAGGTGGTTTAGCTGAGTCAGGGGGGGGGGGGGGTGAGATTGGGGCTTAAGCTATGAAACATGATGATAGAACCGAGGGAACCATCCAATGCAGGAGTCACGATGGGGAATCAAGTCTATGAGATGGTTTGGTGTGTGTGTGTGGGGGGGGGGGGGATACGACAAGTGCATCTAGCCCAGATCAAACATGGGGGGGGGGGGGGTCAGATGGATCAAACATGGACAGGGTCAGTTGGCTGGAGACAGTCTGGTCAAACACAAGTCTGGCAAGGTAACAAATTGACCAGGTCACGTGATAGAGACCTGACCTTTAAGGTCACATGATAGGAACCTGACTTTTATGTCCACAGACATTTGCAACAGCACATTAAACAAAGAGGCATTTGTGTTGGTTGCATTATCGTAACCATATCACAGGTTCTAACCAGACGTAGATGAGGGATATACAATTAAGGTTTGAGTTGGGTTCTCTGAAGTTATGGGTCGACCTTCACCCCTACAACTTTCAGGCGCCGGTATTCGATTTTTTGCTTTCTACTTCCACAAAGTTATCAAGAAATATAAAATACTTTGTATTGTGTAATGTGTAGATACCTTAAAATTGATTACATAAACTAAAACTATATCGTGCATGTGATAAGCCGAACGAACCGCTACAATAACATCATCAAAAAACGTTCTACCCTTGAGACTAGTTTGTTTGTTGGATGTGTGCGTGGTAGTTGTCATCAGGGAGTTGGGTCCAATGAAGACGGACAGTGATAGCCCTTTCTGACATCAGAGGGTTGGGTTTAATGGAGACGGGCGCCCTTTCTGACATCAGAGGGTTGGGTTCAATGGAGACGGACAGTGATAGCCCTTTCTGACATCAGAGGGTTGGGTTTAATGGAGACGGGCGCCCTTTCTGACATCAGAGGGTTGGGTTCAATGGAGACGGGCGCCCTTTCTTACATCAGAGGGTTGGGTTCAATGGAGACGGACAGTGATAGCCCTTTCTGACATCAGAGGGTTGGGTTTAATGGAGACGGGCGCCCTTTCTGACATCAGAGGGTTGGGTTCAATGGAGACGGACAATGATAGCCCTTTTTTACATCAGGGGGTTGGGTCCAATGGAGACAGTGATAGCCCTTTCTTACATTCTGGGAGTGTCGTGGTAAGGTACATCAATATAGGCTGTCACTTTTAATCATGACGTCATTTCTAAACATGACGTCACTTATGCACATGACGTCATTGTATAAACATGACGTCACTTCAAGACATAATTTCAGTTCAAAACATGACGTCATTTGGTATACATGATGTAACTTCTAAAAATGACATCACTTCTAGACATGGTACCACTTTTAAACATGGCGTCACTTTTAAACATGGTATCACTTTAAACAAGACGTAATTTCTAACTATTGTGTAAACAAATGAGACTTACCCTATGTGTTTTGAAGCCCATGCAGTTTGTGAAAATGCCAAGCTGTCCATTTTAATTCAAACATTCTTCCTACTAGACTATCATGGCTTCTGTCTTTTAAATGGTTCACATGATTAGTTCATACACAAGGTGAAGGTCACGGGTTACATTGACCTTACTCACCAAAGGTCAAAGTCTCACAACATTAAACACAGATCCAATCATGCCTGATTAGCACCAACTATAAAAACAACAGCCAAACAAGAAAACTAGACACATATCACTAATCTGATCACCCCACATCACACCAGGAGCAAGGCAACACAGAAACTCTATCACAACTTAAGTTTGTTATATAAAAAAGGTAGTCACTGATAAAATCCCAAGGAAGTCGTCACCGTTCAAACCAAAGATGTTAGTGCGCATGCGTCAAACAGTGTAGCACAAACTGCTATAAGCTACAGGAATGTTGAAGCTAAACATTTAAGTAAACTTTTGTCCATCTATTTTGTGATGTATGTTCTTTTTGATGGTACATTAAACTACATTTAACATCAGCCACTAATGCAGGTGTAGAAGCGACGAATCAGAGGATAATCTGTACAAGCGAAAGGACGTGCCAATAGTTTCTGTTGCACCTTATTAAAAATGATGAAAATAAAGTGATTGTGACTTGTATAGTGGTGGTGGTGCATACACTAAGAGTGCGAATACGAACTGTTTCCATATCGCAAATTTAATTGGGAACTAGAAACAATGTATTTTCCTTTAATTGTATTCAAATAAACAAAAACAATAATTAAATTTTTTTAAATTTGAAATTAAGATTATATTCAGTATCTGAAGAAAACAATAGTGTATATATATATATATATATATATATATATATATATATATATATATATATATATATATATATATATATATATATATATATATATATATATATATATATATATATATATATATATATATATATATATATATATATACGTGGCATTTTACCACACATTTAAGCAAACAAGCTGGCGAAGAAAATAATTTAAAGCGGGCGCCTTAAAAATTATTAAAGATTCTGACGTAGCCTACAAGAAACAACTAGGATAGAAACAAAAGTTAGCATTAGGTGCATGCAGTTAAAGCAACAACAAACACATTCGGATATGACTAGACAACAACCAAGTGACTAGACCTTCATGCACACTTATACAGCAGCATTAAACACCTACATAAACACAACAGCAGAACTAAACAATGGGTTAGCAGAAAGTTACTACTAAACAAAAGCACACCATAAACTACTGCACCTATACAGGCAGGAACGAGTTGCAGTAGCAGACAGCTCAATTGGTGGAGGGGTGGGGGAGGGCGAGTGAACTCGATACAATTGTAATTAATTCAAGGACAGGTAAATTGGTGGAGGGGTTGGGGAGGGCGAGTGAACTCGGTACAATTGAAAATAATTCAAGGACAGATAACTTGTCAGGCTATAGTAAAGTGTGATACTTTAATTTTTTTTTTGTAATCAGAGTAAAAGATAGCAATTTCCAGATTGCTGTTAGTATCCACCAACATGCTGTCTACATGCAAATATTTACCAAAGTCTCCGCATGTTCAGGCTTCTTATCTGTCTGGCGACGTTCATGGTTCAGCTGGGGAGGTAAGTAAAGGGCATTTGGTCAGACCAGCTGGGTGCTGTTATATCATGTGGGGTTGTACCTGTGGGA